AAATCCAAATTTAAAATAGGTTGCCATGTAAGATAGATTTGTCCTAGTATTATTAACTAAATTACAATACATGTCATTTACCTTCATATTTATTTTCAAACATGTCATTAACTGTCTTAATTATAATTTATTCTTCCTATTAATAGCATATCAAACCCCTCATTTCTTTTGGTTGGCATTCCCTCTAACCCATCGACAATTTATAAAATATTTTGAACCCAAAAAAAAATCCCTAAATTATATATCCAATAAATAATGTACCTATAAAAATAATACATATATATATATATATATATATAGGTACATTTATTCTCTCATTCGAATATCCGCACGTTATTACCGACGTGCGGATGCCATTGTAAATAGGAAGGAAAGCAGGGAAGGGTAGTAGAAAATACATGGTAATAACGTCCGGACATCCTCATAGGAGAATTTCCGTATACGCCCAACAGCCCACTTGAGCAATTTGCCATTCTCCCATTGATTCCTATGAATATAGGAAACTTGTATTTCTCATTCACAAATCCTTCTTTGTTTGTGCTGCTAACTATAAGTTTGGTCCTACTTCTGGTTCATTGTGTTACTAAAAACGTAGGAGGAAACTCAGTACCAAATGCTTGGCAACATCCGCATAGGAGAATTTCCGTATATAGGTATGTATGTAAGCTAGAGTTGTATAGTTTTTTACATATATACATGATCAAACGATCAGAGAACACCAGATCTTGGTAATTTCTTACCTCAAATGGGACGTTTTTATTTTTCTTGAATCCTTGTGCTGCAGCAACACGTTTGTCCTTGGCCTTTCTGTGAGGATCAATCTGTGCAAACTTTTCTATTGTCTCTACTAGTGTGTCTGGATCTACATGATCACCAGAAACTTCTATCCTCCCATTATAATCCATTGTCACGCAATTTATTCCTGCGTATGTGCAAACCCAAATTTTTAAAAATCAAACCCGTGCCAATATAATTTAAATTGACGCTTCTTTCATTAAAGTATATTATATATTCACATACTATTTTACCTAAAATAAAATCCAATCGATATATACAATTATAAAAATAAAAAATAAAACGTCGTACCGTCAAGTTTCTTCAACTTTCTCTTTATTCTGTGAAGGCGTTCCAGACAACACAAGTTAACGACCGTCGCAGCATAAGAAATCTGCAACAAGGCATGAAGATATATTGGGTAGGTAAATCACAACTGACAACTGACAACTACATAAGGACATGGTTATTGGTTAATTTCTTACCTTTGAATTTAAATTATTCAAGTCCTCGGCGGCAGGTTTTTCATTCTGAATATGGTTGTTAAAGGCTTCATCACAAGGGTTCTTTTCTATTTTGTAGGACAAAATCTCTGCATACCTAAGTATTTTCTGAATGATTGTGACTGGATCTACATGATCGCCACAAACTGTTATCTTTGAAATACACCAACGTCCTATCCTTCTTTCATAAAGCCCCTCCGAGACCGAATTTACTCCTACATATACACATATTCGCATGTTATATATACTCACTCAGTTGTACTTACTGCCTGCATAATAAAGAGGTTTATTTATAAATTGTTACCGTCAATTTTCTCCAACTTCCTTGTTATGCTATAAGGCAGAGAATTGTCAGCCACGTCCACCTTCACGACATGATAAGTAATCTGCAACAACAAACATATTAATTCTAGAAAAAAGATCGATACGTAGCATTCAGTGTTATAATTAATATAGTACATACAGTCATAATATAATGAAGAATTAATAATTAACAAGTAGCTTGATACATACGGGGGTGTCGTGATGAAGACGGTGGCTCTCCGTTGATGAAATTGTAGAACCCTCCTTTGGGTTAGACATAAGATCACCATTATCATCTATAAGGGCAAGAGCATTGTTGTTGGGAAAAAAATCATCGTAGTTTTCCCTCACTGCCACATCAGTATACTTTGCGTTTGACATGTCTCACAATCCCTAGCTAGCTAGCTAAAAGATGAATAGTCGTAGAAGAAACTATAGGGTTGTTGAAGAAAGTAAATAATGTGGGAGAAGATTGTGATTTGTGAGATATTTATACATAAGAAAATATATGCCAATATTACTTTTTTAATAATATTTTGAACCTTTTTTGGGTGTGTTATTAGATTTTCTAACCCTTTCTTTGCTGCACCAGGAAACCCCTGTGTCTTAGGAATCTTAAACCCTTTCCTTTCTTGCTGATTAAGAATAAACTGCATATATATATATATGGAAATTTTAGATTTTCCTACCATTAATGAATTCTTCTCGTTTATTATAAATCTTACCGTTTTTGGTATTTTATTAGAATTTCTAAGGTTTGGTTTTCCTTCACCAGGGAAACCGCTACTTCTTAGGAATCTTAAACACTTTCCTTTCTTGGTGTTCATGCTTAAATTAAGAATAGACGGCAACTAATAAGGAAAGTGAA